TGGAAGTCTGAGTTTGTCCTTTGCTTAAATATCTTCTCAGTTTTGTTTTTGGTCCTGTCCTTGGTTTAACTCCTGGGTTGATACTTTGAAATTGCTTATTGTAAGTATCTTTGTTGCTTGTAATTAAAACCCTTATGGAATGATTGCTTCTCAGAGTTGTCTTCCAGATATAGCTGGCCTTTAAGTTTTGAGTCTCTAATGACTCTGAGGCTATCTCATTTTCATTATACTAGGAAGAATCACTGACAAGATCAATAACAACACCTTAGCCCAGTGATACAATCAGCAAAACTTTGCATCAAGTACATCTTAGAAAATGACATTTTGTGGTAGTTATAATCTATCACCTTTAACTGTGTGCATTAAATCAAGATCGAGGACCAACCCAACATATGTTTATAGTGAATAAACTCTTCAATATAGCAGCTTTACCCTTCGGGATGGGGAGTTAGAAGGAGTTGGGGAGGGAGTGACAGATAGGTAGAAGGATAGGGGAAGGTTAGCAGTGAGGCCAGAGGATACAGGCGAGAAGGAAAAAGAGAATAATAGAAAAATAAAGAACTCCAAAAGACAGCCAGAACAGAGACAAAAAGAGAGTTGAACAATATGGGACAGCAAGAGAGTGAGTGTAAGAGAGAGAAAGAAAAGAGAAAAGAAAGGGAAAAAAGCAGAGAAAAACAAAAATTTGCAAAGAGTAGGAAAAAGATTAAAGAGGAGAAAAAGAAAAGAGAAACCAATAATACTAATTTTGGAAATAAAAAATAAAAATGAAGATGAAGAGTCCTCTGTTGTCACAGTAGACAATGTGGGTAGCAGTGTGCAGATATAAGTCAATGAGTCTCAGCAAGCCAGTCGCAGACCTGTGAGATTTGGGCAGATTTCTGGCTGCAAGTCCCAAGTTGAGCTCCCTGTCCTCCTGTAGGGTTGAACTCTGTAGGGTTGTACTGCAGGTTCCAGCTGCCCTTTCCCTGAAGATAGTCCCGGTTCTGATGGGAATTGATGATCGCTCGAACTTACCCAGTACAGTGGTCTGGTGGTCCAGTACCCTCTGTGTCTTTGTAGTGTGGAACCAGATGTCAGTACAGCCAAGAGGCCAGAGAAGCGGTGTGGGGGTGGGGGATTCAGTGCATTGCTGCCAGGGTGTGGGCTGGATTGGCATGTTCTGTGCAGCCGGGGACCCTGCTACACCCCTGCCCTCCTTTTAAAACCCCCCCCGCCCCACCCTATTTACAAAGACTTTGTTTCCATATTTTTCATTTTGTCATATTAATTCCATTCTCTTCCTTCCTTTCCCCTACCCCTCCAACTTTCCCTTCCCCTTTGCCCCTTTTCTTACTATTTCACATTATCTATTTTACCTTTTAGTCCTTATTTACGCTTTCACTTTCTCACACCAGAGAAACTATTCGGTATTTATACATAATCAGACTTCTTGTACATGTGGAGCCATTGACAACTGTCTTTTTCCTAAGATCCATTTGCCATTTTCTCTACTAATAGTACAGGGTCATGAAAGATGGAATTTGAATGTCTTTCAGATATATTATGCAAGGCCTCACCTTTCTTACAAGGTATTGAATGCTGTTAGATTTTTATTGTACTGTGTGGCGTTCACTTTTTAACAAATTAAAGGTGTGATTTTTATAAGTAACATGATTTTTTTGAAATTTTCCTTTTCTGTGGGTTGTTTGAAGCAGTGTCTCACTGTGTAATTCAGACTGGCCTTGAACTTACTATGTAGCCCAGGCTGGCCTTGAACTCATGGCAGTCGGTCTGTATCTGCTTCTCAAGTGCTGGGATTGCAAGCATACACCACCACACCTGGCTGGAGTTTTTCTTTTATTCATAGTGCCCAATAACTTTTTAATATATTGGTTTTCAATTCATGTAGGTGTGTTAATCATATTCATTCCATCATTACTCTCACTTATACTCCTCTAGAATTTCTTTTTTTTTTTGGTACCAGGGATTGAACTCAGGACCTTGCGCAGCAGGCACCAGAACCACTGAACTAAATCCCCGGCCCTCCTCTAGAATTTCTTAGATCTGAATGACCATTTGATGTCACTGAGCTATAAGATAGTATGCCATTCTTTTCCTATTTTAATTGTCTTGTCTTGCACCAATAAAGCAATTTTCCACTAGGATTTTTAATTATAATTCATAAATCTTATGTAATCTTAAGTATTTTTCTCTGAAACTAGATTCAAGTTTCAAAATGCTGCCTAAGTGCATCAGAAAAAGAAGGACTCTACTCTGTAAATAATAAAATTTGAAGAGATATTATCTATCATCTATCAAAATCATTCATTAGATATTCATCTGTCCCAGTGTTTTCTGGATTGTGATCTTGCAGCCTCCTTCTGTGAACTCTGTTTAGAGTCTGAGGACAAATACAATGGGGGTAACCCAGCAGGAGAACCACAACCCTATCCTAGTGTTCCATTAACAATGAGTTGCAATCTAGCATCAGAATTGCTCTGTGAAAAAATGTGCATACACATAGGGAGTAAGAGTTTGATGACCAAGACATGGAGTTGTTTGAAGAATTCAGCCTCATTTCAGCATTTTATGAGAGGGGTTGATCTGTTTCAGGCTTTTTCAACTTTCCTTCAGGAAATATATGTATTATGATTTAGGAAGCAGTGACCTTTGCGGATGTGGCTGTGAACTTCACCAAGGAAGAATGGGCTTTATTGAATCCATCCCAAAAGAAGCTCTGCAGAGATGTGATGTGGGAAACATTTATGAACATGGCTGTTATAAGTAAGGATGATATCATTTTCTCATTTATATAATCCGAGAACATTGCCTCTTGCTCATTGGTGCAATTTAATCAGAATGTAAAAACTTTTTAAACATCTCAGACCTGGTTGGATTATACCATGAATCTAACTGGAATCTATTAATTTTTATGTAATTATATGCTGACCCCTTATATTTGTATGTCTACATTTCAGGAAGAACCTGGGATAGCCAGCAAATTGGAGAGGAGTACAAAAATTGTTGGAGAAATCTAAGGTAATTTGCACTCACAAGTAAAATACCTCAAGAGTCAGAGTGTGAGCAGAAATAGTAAAACCAAGGAAAATGTAAAAATAATGTAATGTTGAAATGTATTTAATCCTACATTCCCTAAAAATGTATACAGTTTGTGTTGTCTGACAGTCAAATACAGAAATTTTCCAATATAGGAAACTGATGTACAGATTTTATGCAACAAGTGACACTGTCTGATATATCACTACACAAAAATGTTCTCCCATAATGAACCTCAAGAAAATGTAATAAATTGCATCTAGGCCTTGGGTATAGATATATGTGAAAAGAATAAATTTTGTGTTTTGACAGGGACCCATCTTAAGGATATCTAATTTTGTATACATGTGAATATGAGACATTCAGTATCTGGAAAATTGCTAACCTGGAAGCTGTACTCAAAATGCAAATGAATGGTAGTGTTCTGATAATGGGTGTTTTCAAGGCATCCTCCAGAGAATTGAGTTCATTTATGTTTTATAAAGAAGAAGGCACCTTCCTACATTGGTGGGAATGTAAAGTACAACCACTATGAAAAACAATATGCAGATGTCTCAAAAAGTGAAAATGTAAATTCCTTTTAATCCAGGTATACTTTTTGGGTTTATAGTCCCCAAAGAGTTCAAATCATTATAGTGAAACATGCATACCCATGCTCAAAGCAGCTCCATTCACAATGGCTAAGCTATGGAAACAGCCTAGATGTCTATCATTTGATGCATGGATAAAAAACGTTTTGGGTAAGCTCAGTATGGAGGTGCCTTCTTGTAATCCCAGCACTCTGAGAAGCTGAGTCAGCAGAATAACAAGTTGAAGTTCAGCATGAGCAAATTAATGATCAATGAGAAACTGTATCAAAATAAGATTAAATAAGCTAGAGATGTAATGCAATGCTAACTTCCTGGGTTTAATCCCCACTGAGATAGAAAAACAAACAAATGAAAATGTGCTCTATTTATTGAGCCATAAAGAAAAATGATGTTATTTCCCCCCCAAAAAGGATGTATCTCCATGCAATAATAATCAGTAAAATAAATTAAAGAAAGTAAAATATCAAGTGGTTTTTCTTCAGTAAAAAATCAAAAATATAAATTACAAAGTAAAATATAGGACAGTATTAGAAAACACGTAGTCAGTCTCTTTGGAAATAGGGAAGAGAATGAGGATAAGGAGAGAAGGGATGAGTGATGAGGGAATGATGTCAAAAATGATAAACACGTGATATACATCTGGACCAGTTCCCCAAAATGAAAGCAAACATGTATTGCAAACGTATGTCAACTTTAAAATTCCCAAATGAATGCCACTATTTTCATATCTGTTTTTAAGACATACTCCAGGGCATTCAGTCAATGTAAATTATTACTAAGGAAACACTTTTTATTTTGATTGGTATTTCTGTTAATTTTTTCTTTACAGAAATGAAGAGGTAGAGAAATGCTATGAATATAAAGTTTTGAATCAATCTAAAGAAATGTTCCTCTTGACTCCATATGTTAATGTGAACATGAAAAAAGCTGGTTTAAAACCAGCTGAAAGTGTTGCTTATAGAAAGCCCCTGATTGATAATATATCACTAAATGCACCCATAAGATCTCAAACTAAACTGAAGCCAGATGAATATTCAGGATTTAAAGAGAAGCACTATAAATGTAATGAAGATGGAAGAACCAGCAGTGGTTTCCAGTCCTTTAAGAAGCATGCAAAGATAAAGGCTGGAGAGAAACCCTGTGAATACAAGCAGTGTGGGAAAGCTGACTGTGATCCCAGAGAAAGAACTCACCCTAGAGAGAAGACCTTTGTGTGTAAGCAAAGTGTGAAAGCCCCCGGCACACTCAATGATGTTCAAATCCATCACAATGCAGGAAATCCATATGTATGCCAACAAACTGGGGAATCTTTTATTTCTTCCTGTTATATTGAAATACAAGAAAGAAGACATGCTGGAGAGAATCCCTGTATATCTAAGGAATGTGGAAAAGCCAAATTAGCTCCTAGTAATTCCTTTCACAAACATAGAAGTACTCACATTGGGAAGAAACTCTACAAATGTAAACAGTGTGGGAAAGCTTTCAGGAGTCATAGTAACTGTCACAGACATGAAAAAACTCATACTGGAGAGAAATCCTATGTATGTAAGCAATGTGGGAAAGCTTTCAGCACACACTGGTACTGTCAAATACATGAGAGAAGTCACACTGGGAATACACCCTATATATGTAATCACTGTGGGAAAGCATTTACTACACACAGGAATTGTCAAGTACATGAGAGAAGCCATACTGGTGAAAAACCGTATGTATGTAAGCAATGTGGGAAAGCATTCAGTATGCAGAAGTATTATCAAATACATAAAAGAAGACACACTGGAGAGAAACCCTATGTGTGTGAGCAATGTGGAAAAAAGTTTTATTCTAACATTTCACTTTATAGACATAAAAAAATTCACACTCGGGAGAAATCCTATGTATGTAATCAATGTGGAGAAGCATTCAGTACATACAGGCATTGTCAAATACATGAAAGAACTCACAATGGGGAGAAACTCTATATATGTAAGCATTGTGGGAAAGCTTTCAGCAGTCACTGTCACTGTCAACGACATGAAAGAATTCACACTGGGGAGAAGCCCTATGTATGTAAGCATTGTGGGAAAGCATTTAATATACAAAATAATTGTCAAATACATGAAAGAACTCACACTGGAGAGAAACCCTATGCATGTAAGCATTGTGGGAAAGCTTTCAACACACACAGTCAGTGTAAAATACATGAACGAACTCACACTGGGGAGAAACCCTATGTATGTAAGCATTGTGGGAAAGCATTCAGTACATGTAGTTCTCATAAAACACATGAAAGAACTCACACT